CACCTGTACCCCACAATACAGCTACCCTCTGCCTGTACCCCACAATACATCTACACCCCACCTGTACCCCACAATACAGCAACCCTCCGCCTGTACCCCACAATACAACTACCCTCCGCCTGTACCCCACAATACAGCAACCCTCCACATGTACCCCACAATACAGCTACCCTCCACCTGTACCCCACAATACAGCTACCCTCCACCTGTATCCCACAATACAGCTACACCTGACCTGTACCCCACAATACATCTACACCCCACCTGCACCCCACAATACAGCTACACCCCACCTGTACCCCACAATACAGCTACCCTCCACCTGTACCCCACAATACAGCAACCCTCCGCCTGTACCCCACAATACAGCTACCCTCCGCCTGTACCCCACAATACAGCTACCCTCCACCTGTACCCCACAATACAGCTATCCTCCACCTGTACCCCACAATACAGCTACCCTCCACCTGTATCCAACAATACAGCTACTCTCCACCTGTATCCCACAATACATCTACACCCCACCTGTACCCCACAATACAGCTACACCCCACCTGTACCCCACAATACAGCAACCCTCCACCTGTACCCAACAATACAGCTACACCCCACCTGTACCCCACAATACAGCTATCCTCCACCTGCACCCACAATACAGCTATCCTCCACCTGTACCCCACAATACAGCTGAGGAAAACACATCCTTAAAATGTACCTGTTTCATGTGTAGATTTAAGGATATGAGAATAGGACAGCAGTTATTGTCAGTGTCTGGTTCCAGCTGCCCGTGTGAATGAAGGTATTGTGTGTCCATCTGAAGGCTTAGCTACACAACAAGTGAGATATGCAGGGCAAAGTGCAGAAGATCAGATGAACACAACACCTTTCATTCATGCAAATCACAGGAAATACTTACAATTAAAAAACATGAAGCACCAACTTGCCACTCAAAGCATACCTTTTATATAAATTACATACAGTGCCAGAGACTTTCTGTATCATGCAAGTGTGAGGTACATATATTTTTATATACTTTTTTCTGTGTAGATCAAACAAGCAGAAACTATGGCCTGGCATTGATGAAAGAGGACTTCAAATGATGTCAGTTATTTTAAAACAAAGACTAAAAAAAGTTCACAATGACAAGAAAAAGTATAATGAATATATGAATACATATTTTGACAAAGCATCTAAATATAACAAGCAGTCCCATGATATATACACAGGTGATGGTGCGTCTCCCGCTAGGTGGCCAAGGGTATAAATGAGGTGGCTGTAGGCAGTGACTGACCCTTGGTCAGTTGAATCACCAAGCAATGACCTTGAACTGCATGAGATCAGCCCAGGGCCAAGTGGACAGCCCCCAGTTATACAACTGCCCACCACCTGTACCTACAGACATAAGGACAGGGGTGGGTGGGAGGGATCAGCTAAGTTGGAGACAACTTGTGCTGGTATAACCTGCCTGTGACTGGTCAGCCTTTGTCTGCCCACTGTCATCAGCGGAGCATGCTGATTGAGGCAGATACTGCCTCCTCCAGGACAAACCATCCACAACAACAACATCACAATACTGTAATTACAGGGAATCTCAGTTACCGAGATAGTTCACTTTCACTTAAAATGAATCTGGGCTTTCAATAGATGACAAATAATCTGTTTCCATCTCAACTCAGAAACACGTGAATTAATGATGGCACCAGGAATACAGTCCAGGTCAACATGGCTACCACCAAATATACTTCAACTGGTTTAGTTTTGAATCTTCCAACAACTTGATAATTCAAAACACAATCATTGAAAGCTGGACAAATCAGCTGACAATGACTGTTCTTGCTTGTACACATACATTGAGCGTTACTCCTGCTCTCAATGTTCCTCTTCATACAGAAGTCATAGGAATCTCAAACAACTTAACATGTAGCAGTATATGTGTGTCACTGTAGTCTACAAACTATAGCCTTGCTTTCATATAATCTGGATTGGTTTTAGTTTTGTTTTCATAAAATACATGTAATCCCGTCATGGTGCAGGACTTAAAACATTTCTACATCTGTGTTTACAACATATTCGTACAGCTCAACTAAAACATATTTCGTAAAAGTTTATAGTTTCATTCCTGATACAATGGTAGTAATGTACAACATGGGAAACTTCAGTAAATACTGAGCATCACTCTTACATTTACACCTGCTGTGTGCCACCAACAGGAGGTACTGCATGATTGATATGACATACACCCTACAGGAGGTGCTGGATGATTGATATGACATGCATCTTACAAGAGGTGCGGGATGATTGATATGACATACACCCTACAGGAGGTGCTGGATGATTGATATGACATGCATCCTACAAGAGGTGCGGGATGATTGATATGACATGCATCCTACAAGAGGTGCGGGATGATTGATATGACATACACCCTACAGGAGGTGCTGGATGATTGATATGACATGCATCCTACAGGAGGTGCTGGATGATTGATATGACATACACCCTACAGGAGGTGCTGGATGATTGATATGACATGCATCCTACAGGAGGTGCTGGATGATTGATATGACATGCATCCTACAGGAGGTGCAGGATGATTGATATGACATACACCCTACAGGAGGTGCTGGATGATTGATATGACATGCATCCTACAGGAGGTGCTGGATGATTGATATGACATACACCCTACAGGAGGTGCTGGATGATTGATATGACATGCATCCTACAAGAGGTGCGGGATGATTGATATGACATACACCCTACAGGAGGTGCTGGATGATTGATATGACATACATCCTACAGGAGGTGCTGGATGATTGATATGACATGCATCCTACAGGAGGTGCTGGATGATTGATATGACATACACCCTACAGGAGGTGCTGGATGATTGATATGACATACATCCTACAGGAGGTGCTGGATGATTGATATGACATGCATCCTACAGGAGGTGCTGGATGATTGATATGACATACACCCTACAGGAGGTGCTGGATGATTGATATGACATGCATCCTACAAGAGGTGCAGGATGATTGATATGACATGCATCCTACAGGAGGTGCTGGATGATTGATATGACATGCATCCTACAGGAGATGCTGGATTATTGATATGACACGCACCCTACAGGAGGTGCTGGATGATTGATATGACATGCATCCTACAGGAGGTGCTGGATGATTGATATGACATACACCCTACAGGAGGTGCTGGATGATTGATATGACATGCATCCTACAGGAGGTGCAGGATGATTGATATGACATACACCCTACAGGAGGTGCTGGATGATTGATATGACATACACCCTACAGGAGGTGCTGGTTGATTGATATGACATGCACCCTACAGGAGGTACTGGTTGATTGATATGACATGCACCCTACAGGAGGTGCGGGATGATTGATATGACATACACCCTACAGGAGATGCTGGATTATTGACATGACACGCACCCTACAGGAGGTGCGGGATGATTGATATGACATGCACCCTACAGGTGGTGCTGGATGATTGATAGGACATGCACCCTACAGGAGGTGCGGGATGATTGACACGACACACCCTACAGGAGGTGATAGATGATTGATATGACATGCACCCTACAGGAGGTGCGGGATTATAGACATGACACGCACCCTAAAGGAGGTGCTTGATGATTGATATGACATGCACCCTACAGGAGGTGCGGGATGATTGACATGACACGCACCCTACAGGAGGTGCTGGATGATTGATATGACATGCACCCTACAGGAGGTGCGGGATGATTGACATGACACGCACCCTACAGGAGGTGCTGGATGATTGATATGACATGCACCCTGTTGCACCTTTATCACGCTAAAAAGACTGATTGATGCCACTTGCCTTCCATTGTCTGTATAACAGGGAACCACACAGCAAACAACTAATCATTCTTCTACCACACACAATACTACAATCACCAGTCTACAGGAGCCCTGTATACAAAAGTTAGGATGAAAACACCTGTTAGTTCTACTGAGGCTGTTAGGGTCTACATCTGCCTGGGTACGATATGTCAAGACTTCAACCTGTCCACCTATGTTCCTCCAGTGAAGTGAGATTACTGGCTTGTACCTGGGTACACAGTAGTTCTACCACTGCCACTATAGGCCCCAACATCTCACATGGAATACCGCATTTGGTTAAAATGTCAAGTTTTGAACAATTTACTACAGTACTTGGTATTTTAAAGTTGAAATTTAAGTGTACTCTGATTACATTTGACAGAGGTCTATCAAAATCAATTCTCTTGACAACAAGTATTAAGCTATTACAACTCTAACTAGTTAATAAATGGCCCATACTTACTTTCTAAATCTGTAAATCAACAGTAAATGTTCATTAGCATAGAAAGCAACAACACATAACAGTCTTCTGATCCTACCATGCCCCCACCAGAAGTCCAGCTTCTTCACCTGGACACATATGCTGATGAATCTGTCCTTAAGATTCTGACACCTCACAACCCTACTTCACACATATCCATCCCCACCTCCCATCCATACACTAAGCCCATCACTCTGTGTTCAGCAAACACTGTTTACTTGTCCTGTATAAGACCCTCATTAAAAGTATCCCTGCTTGGTACATTAGGATATCCGTATGGGGACAAAACCCTGTTACATTGAGCCAGTAATACAGGTGAAGCGGGTAAAGACTCTATGTAAATGACACAGTGTTGGGTGGAAGCTACGTGCCAATTGTATACATCAGAGCCACAAAGCCCTACATTGTATTGCTGTAAATCATGGGAACTGTAGATTATTTATAAACACAGTAAACTAAAGATATTTGCATGGAGTTTTTCATCATGACTCTAGGTGGTCATTGGCAATAATAATATCCAATGAGAAAGTTAGTTTGCATCTATTCAGAATCTAGCCAGCATTTGCCAAAGTGTAACTCACCTGTCCTTCTCATGGTGCGGAGTACTGGGGAAAGCCAATGAGTGGCTTGTCAAAACTTACCTAAATCCAATCGTCTTCGAAGCTGACGCATAGAATTCCTGATTTTCCTCTTCTCTTCATAGTCTTCTGTGACAGCAAGCTGCAAGAGAGTCAGTCACATTACCAGTGTTGTCTTACGTCCCTACACAAAGTTTCACTTGTAGGACACCAACTGTCATAAAATTCAAAAAGTCAGAAGTATTGTGGCCAAAGCCTATTAAACACACACGATCCCACCCAACCATCACAAAATTGGCAATGTTTCTTCAATCAAACTAAATTGAAGTGTTATCCTGTTGTGAGGTTATTTGTTGGGACAATATTGAAAGAGTGTTGGTGTGTTGTGTGTGGCTTGTCTCTCATCGATTGTAGCGTGTAAAGACAGAATAGCTTTCCCCCTCCAAATAGAGGTGTCTGTGGAGTAATCCCAGTGTCCACCTAGCCACATGGCTTACAGATGCACCACTAACTCCCACAAATCTTCATCACACTCCCGGATTTGGGAAGGCATCTCCTGAACAACTACTGGGTACTTGATGACTTGTGTATATCGGTAGACCTACACCAGGGTACTTGGTGACTTGTGAATATTGGTAGACCTACACCAGGGTACTTGGTGACTTGTGTATATCGGTAGACCTACACCAGGGTACTTGGTGACTTGTGTATATCAGTAGATCTACACCAGGGTACTTGGTGACTTGAGTATATTGGTAGATCTACACCAGGGTACTTGGTTAGTGCAATGTGCAATGTGCAATCTAACAAGAGTCATCAGAAGATGACAAATCCCCCCACCCACAACCCACCCCCCACCCCACCCCATCCCCCACAAATTCGAATGAACAAATCATCTGACTGCTACTTTAAGTCCAACTTGATAAGGAATTTTTATCTAATGTGTCTGTCTGTATACAAGAGTAGTTACTGAGCTATCAAACTTTACCATGCAATTGGGATTCGGAACTTGGTATTTCTGTGTAAGGTACATAACACTATGAACTGAGTCAAAATCAAAATTGTTGCTATGGACAGAGAAAAAATATAAATTCGAAAAATCCTTAAATAGCAAAAGGTATCAGTTGACAACATGGTCTTTGTTTCAAGAAAAAGTACCTATTAGTTTTAGAGATATGTCCGGGACAAACACACCAGTATGAGTCAAAGTCATACTTGTTGCCTTGGAAACAGGAAAATCTTAATTTAAAAAAAATTTCATTACAGCAAAAGGCACCACTTCAGCCTTTAAATAATACATGTACCAAGTTTGGATGAAAAATGTTGAAAAGTGGTTTAGTTCTGGTCCGGAAACGACACCTGCCTTCATTTGAGCTAAGTCTAACTTGTTGTGATGGAAACAAGGCAAAATCAAATTTTGAAAATTCCTAAATAGCAAAAGACACCACTTCAGCCCTTGTTTAATACATGTACCAGGTTTGATGAAAAGTCTTTTACAGTTTTCGTGTTGTGCTCTGGAAACGATATCTATCCCCACTTTTTGAGACAAATTGTTTCCATTGAAATAAAAAAAGGCACCACTTCAGGATCTGTTTGATGTATCAGCCAAGTTTTGATGGAAGATATTGAATGGTTTTTTGAGTTATGCTCTGGAAATGAAATGATTACAGATGGACGGACATATGGACAGACAGAAGAATATCGTTAACTATATCTTATAATGCAGGGGGGATAAAAAGCTCACTAGCCCTTTTAAAATACACTGATATAAGAACTTTGCATTACAAAGAGAATGATATTTGTGCATTCCCCGGACATACGTCACTACACTGAATGCCATGATAGGAAGCATCTCTGTCAATGTTGGTAATAAATTTGTAAGGGTGATCCTGAACCATTTTGACCTTAACCACATCAGGTTCTGGTCATATCTCCAATATGCAACAGAATACCACCACGCTCAGAGTTTGTCCTGCCATAGCATCTGCTGCCATAACTTAGTCTCAGCTTCAGATTGGTACTGCAAGGATAACGATGGTAACAAATGCGAAGAAAATAGATGAATGCATGCATGGGAAAATAATTATAGGTACAGTGATAAGTAAAGCAACACTCCCTGGGCAAAACAGGATTCATTCAGCCACTACCACCCCAAGCATGTTGAAGGTAAGAGGCAACTAACGGGATTGGGTGGTCTGGCTCACTGACTTGGTCGATGCATGTCATTGTATTCCAATTGAGTGGATCGATGCTCATGATGTCAATCACTGGATTGTCTGGTCCAGACTTGAAAATTTTATTATAAATTGTATATTTATATACTTATCCTATGTCACACTATACATTTCTCTTTCTTCTTTCGATTCTGAGAGGAAACGTATCTGAAATAAAAGTTTCCAGCTTCTAAAGTTAATTAAGCCTGTCATACCTCACATCGCTAAGGTCACCTCCCAGATCTTGGTCATGCGCGCTATGCATGCTGGTTGACCTTCTTGCACTGATCACGTGTCTATCCCAGTCAACTCATTCTCTTTCAAGAGCATATAGACTAAGGAATTGCGATGTGGGGATGGACGGGTGGGCATATAACGTGTGAGATAGGATAAGTATATAAATATACAATTTATAATTTCAAATTTTTAAACTTATCCTATCTCACACTATGCATTTTATCCCACGGTTGGATGGTGGGGCGCAACTCCCTTGTCTATAGATCACAACCGTAGGATATTTACGAGGAAGCTGGAACTTAACAGTGGTACTATACTTAATACAGTAACACAGTTAAGAGTCGTAAAACAAAAAACAAAAAACAACACACAAAAAAAACAACTCGTAGACAGGATAAGCAGAACACTCTCAAAGAATGTTGAGATCCTGATACGTGAACAACTGAAACACCACAAGTCGGGTACAACATGTGTAACATGTTCAAATGTAATCAAGCGTAATCGCATGTCTAAAACGAACGAGTACGACTTATATTTGAGAGAGTATACATCCCGTCGTCGAATCTACAAGACAGGGTATTCCTATCTCCAGAGGACGATAGGTTGGACCCGCTCGGCATCTCTTTTATCGCTTCGTCAAACCCTCAATCATGTAAGTGATTGAATCGATGGGTAAAAAACGAGAAGAGGAAACGATCAACAATATCCACAAAAGGATCATTGATCCGTTACTCAACACACATACCTAAAGTAGAGGTGTTTGAAATAAGGGATCGGGACACCGAAATCGGCCGCGTCTAATGACGACTTCAAGTTGAAGACCAAGGTCCCTACAGACGAGTGATTATACCCTCCAACCGGATACTCAGTCTTGGAAGCCCGAATGAATACAATAAACACCAATAATCATGACAAATGTTTATTATAAATAGAGATGGATGTAATGTAATGAAAATCTGTTATACATCTCCCTATCTGTGCAGGTGTGTCTTTGAGATCTGTTGTGCGAGTACCAAGGGTCCAAACTGGTGAAGGCCTTGAACATCTGTCACTGAGATGTCTCGGAGGTAATGGGATGCGAACACGGTATCGGATTTCCAAAAACATCCCTCCATAATTGCGGTCAAGGAGCAATTACTATGAAGTGCCATGGTGGAAGCGGCAGCACGGGTTTTGTGAGGATTAGATGCGACTGGAGCAGGTAGGCCAGAGAAGGTGTAGGCTCGAAGGATCACTGAGCGTATCCAATACGAGATTGTGGTATGGGAGACTTCCGTAGTAGCTGCCGCAGAGAGCGGGATGAATAACCTCTTACGTAATCGACAAAGTGGTTTCGCCGCTTCCAGATAGATTCGAAGTGCATGTACCGAACACAACGATATGTCTTCGTCAGGGTTTAAGAGGGCAGTCAACGGTGGGATACTGAATAGTTGATCGGGTTGACCAGGGAGTTGATTTTTGGTGATGAAATCCCATCGTAGTCCCAAAAATACTTTCCCATGTGCAGTTCGTTCGAAACGTACTCTGTTGACGTCTTAAGTGAGAATTTCACTCACTCGAGCCGCCGTTGCAAGGGCCAGAAGGAAAACTGTCTTCAAAGAAATGTGTTCAAAATCTTTCTCGTTAGATGGCGAAGTATGATGTTTAGATCCCAAGTTGGTGGTCGAAAACGTGATGTTTGGTCCGCCAACTTGTACGATCTGATCAATGATTGTAATTCGGCGATTGTGGAAATCTAAGTGCCCGTTGTAGTTGCGATGACAGAATTGATCGTAGCTAAATAGGTAGCTAGAGTTGAACCTTTTAGTATACGAGATGATCGAAGATAGTGAAGGTATTCAGCAATTTGGTGCTGGTATGCCGTGGCAGGTGTGGAAATGTCATGTGAATGACAATACGATTCAAATGCCTTCCATTTATGGTCATATAGTGCTTTAGTAGATGACCTGTGCGCCCCCGCAATGGTCTTGGCCACTCGTTCAGAATAACCCTTAGCTATCAATGATTTCTGTTAATGCGCCAAACGCATAGATTGAGGGTTGTTGGCGACGGATGACGGAGCTGAGAGTGTGGTTGATGCAGAAGATCGTCCCTTAGAGGTAGATGGTAAAACTTTCTGTCTGCGAGACGAATGAGCGTTATGAACCAACTGCGTGTTGGCCAGTAGGGCGCGACCAACAGTAGAGTGAGGCGATTGGTCGTTGATATCTTCTGTAGAACCCGATGTAGAATGCCGGTTGGGGGAAAGGCGTAAGCATGTAGTCCTTCCCATGGGATTGCTAACGCATCATGGACCCAGGCTAGGGGGTCTGGGATAGGAGATACGAACCGGGATAGCTGAGTATTGAATCGGGTTTGGAAGAGATATTAGAACCTGACAATCGTCGTCCAGAAGGAAAGGGCTTGAGGAAGCACTGGATTGGCCGTAAGTGAAGTTGGTGAGGGCTTGTGTTGATATTAGGAGACCAAGAAGTTGTTGCCATTGACGTAAGGAAAGTGGCTGTTTGAGTGCCAATGGAACGAGGCGTTGGATTTTCTCCCAACGATCTTGGGGTACAAACATTTTGCCCAGACTCGTGTCGAAGAGGGCTCCGATGAACTGGAGACGTTGTGTTGGAATAGTTTCGGACTTTTTGGGGTTGATGATCCAACCTAGTTGATGAAGTAGGCGTTGAGAGAAATCAAGGTGATGAAGTAGAGTGTTCGAATCCTTGTTGGCTTGAATGCAGTCGTCAATGTACGTTTCGAAGACGATGCCTCAAGTGTGTAGGAACTTGACGATTGGTTTTGTGAGGCAAGTAAATAGCCACGGGGCTGAAGAAATTCCAAATGGGAGCACTCGCCATTGGTAGTGTTGGCCGAGGAACACAAACCGAAGAAAATGGCGGTGCTCTGGCAGGATAGGGACGTGTAAGTACGCGTCTTGTGTATCTAGGCTGATCATGAAGTCACTGGGATGAATAATCGTTCGTAGTAGAGCATTTGATGTCATGCGAAAGTGTGGAGGAGTCTCTAGGTATAGTTTGTTGAAGGTTTCCATGTTGAAGATGAGACGTAGTTGAGGACTGTTTTTGGGGGGAACCAGAAAAATTGGAGAATAGAATCCTGGTGTCATTGGCTGAGTGCCCAGACACTCTATTGCGTTCTTTACAAGTAATATGTTTATGGCGTCTATGAGAACTGGAAGTTGTTTGGCTGGATACAGGTGTTGAGGCGGTTAGCACGTCGTCGGAGGTGGCAAGAGGTAGAGGATAACCTGTTTGTAGGAGAGGGGCCACATATGGGTCGTATAGGATGGTCCAGTTTAAAGCGAACGTGCCTAGTCTTCCGCCTACGGGAGACGAGAAAATCGGAACGGCTGGAGTCGGAAGGTCCCAGTCGTTCTGCTGTTGTCGTGAGTCATTTGTGGTTAGTGTCTCCTGGCTTAGGAGAGTTAGTGTTTCCTTTAGTACCTGAAAAGGAGACGGTGCGTCCGCCTGATTTCCCTCCTCGCTGATGTTGGCGTGCTCGGCCGCGGCCACGAAAAGAAGCAGACCTATTACTCAAAACTTCTCTAAGGTCTTGTTGAGAAGGAGTAAAGGTTGGTCGTCTTCGGTCTTTCCTTTGTTCTTCCAGTTGATTTTTCTGGAGATGAAGTAAGTCAACAGTGACTTGCAGGGAAGTGTCTCTTTGGACTTCATGGGCGACCTCCTGTATGCACCCAGCAAAAAGGGAGTGCGTTGACCATGGCATTTGGTACAGCCTGTTCTTAAATTGATCATCCCATGAGCAATGTTGTAACACCCCCGTCTACTAAGAGAAGTGATAGATCCTGCATGGTGAGCAAGGAGGTTTAGTATAGCTGTCGTTTTATCCTGGATGAGGGTCACAGCACCTCGAATACAGGATTCTTCCGAGGAAGATGCATGAGCTAGAGCCGACGAAAGTGCTTCAGTTGCTGATAAAATAGTGGAGACCAACGGGAGGGTCCTTCGAACAGTGGTGTCGAGGTGAACGAGGTCCCTGTCATCCACTGAAGAAGCTGAGTACGGACGCTTAGGAGCTAATGTTGCGATGTCACCATCTAGTTCGGGAGAAATCGTAGACAAGCCATGAGTCCCTGCATCCGCCAATACAAAGCGTGGAGATTGAAGCCGATCACGAAGACGGCGAAAGGATCCAAATGCTTTGTCTAAATTGGTGGCCATATCCTGTAGGACTGGTCTCAGAGGGAGTGTAATGTTCGGCGACGAGGCTGAAGGCACAACAAATGATGATAAAGTGTCCTCCGTTGAAGTGCTTTTTAACAATTGTAACTTATCTGCTATCCAGATAAGTACAGTGATCTGATCGGCTATGTCGAAGCTCCCAGAAGACGAAGCTGGGGAGGTATAGTGGTCTGATGACTCTGATTCTGGTGGTTGATCCACTGAAAGGGATGTAGTGGGTGTCGATGCAGATAGAGGTACCGTAGTTGGTACAGCAGGTGCCGGTTGGGGAAGACATGCTGCTGTTACAGCCTGTAACAGAGAACGAATCTGTTCTGCTGGAATAGCAGAAAGTTCCCTAGGGATCCATGATGTAGGGATAGCTTTAGATGGAGCTTGTGATGTTGCAGGAGTCTGTGATTCAGAGGAAACAGGAGGGTGTCAAACCGGAGGTGGCGATGGGGAGCCGGTACGATGAGTAGGTGAAGTAGAACTCTGCCTATCTTTAGGTGAAGGACATCTACTAAAGGTAGCTGATCTGAGTGGTCTATCTCTATGTCGCCGAGGAGAATCCTCATGACGAGAAGAGGAAATGTGGCTTGACCGATAAGGTCTGTAATCTGGATCATGAGGATACCCATGCCATGGAGGGTGGGGATCCCTGTAGTGTGGGTATCGTTCCAACTCATGTGCGTAGGCACTATATGAAGTAGTGTTCCATGGGTAATCACCACGTTGATGAAAATCAAAAGTGTGAGGGTAATCTCTTGGTCGAAACTCCGGATGGGTGAGTGAAGGAGAAGATCGAGACATGTAGGATGAATGGCTAATAGACTCGTTGTAGCGTTCATCCTCCGAGCCTAGATGTGATGGAGCTGAATAGTCTCTTCATGAGACATGATAAGGGGATGAGCGATAATCCGCTTGCCTGTCATAAGACGAGTAACGATCTGTAGGTGAACGTCGCATATTAGGGGAGTCTCTCGAATGTCTCCGTTCCTTGGAGGTTTTATGAACTCTCGTGTCCCATTGAACCTCCTTTGAAGTGTGTCGATACTTAGGAGTCTGTATGTCCTTCGAAGTTCGGTTCGATGGTGTTCGTTTAACCTCAGAGGTTCGACGAGGCTCGAATCTCTTTTGTTTGTCCGACGATGTACGATTCAAACGTGACTGTCGCACCTGGGGAGTACAGCGATGTTCGGAGGTCCGATGAGGTTCGGAGGTTCGATGAGGTTCGGAGGTTCGAGGTTAAGAGGTTTGAGGTTTGGAGGTTCGAAGTTCGGAGGATCGAGGTTCGGAGGCCCGATGTTCATAGGTTCGAGGTTCGGAGGTTCGGAGGTTCAGGGGTCCAAGTTCGGAGGTTCGGAGGTTCGGAGGTTCGAGGTTCGGAAGTACAAGGAACCTTCAATGGTGGGATGTTCGGTGAATCATCTCGGTGTCGAGAGTGAGAAGTCCGTTGGTCCCAGTCTGAATGCCGATCCCCCGATGATAGCACTGAATAAAGTGCACTGACTGTCGATGCTAGTCGATCCCGTGATGAATGTCTATCGTCTTGTGAATCCTCTCGGGAATGGGAGGTTCGTGAACCTTGATCCGATGAGTCGTCATGGGATATTTCGAACGACGGACCAAACTTATAGGGTCGACCGAGGTACCAGAACCATGTGTAACCTCCGAAGGTAAAACAGGAGCGAGCTCCATGTTAGTCGTAGAACACGACGAGTCGAAAGTACGAACCTTGGTTGGGTTCGATACGTTGGCTGACGTAAGCCGGTCATCCACACTCGTGTCTAACGAGAGGACTCGTCGAATGTCCGAGTCTCGGGATGTGGAGGGGAGGTTTGGCTTTGAAGGTGGATTCGTGGATACCTTAGACATGTCGTCTGTGAGAAAAGAGTCAGAGACCCCCTCATCATCTAACGAGATCATGGGACCAGTTTGATCCCTAGTATTCTGGCCCGCCTGTGAGGGTGATTGGGCCGATCTCGCTTTCTTGACAGGTGTTTTCTTGGCTTTCGTGGATTTTTCTGCAGTCTTAGAGAGACGATCTGACACCCGACGCCGACATTTATGCAGGTACAGTTTGAAGGATTCATCTGGTAGATCTGAGCAGAGCTCGCAACGCTCTAAAAAACTGCATAATCCACGACAATCCGAACATCGGGCATGAGGGTCAGACGGAGAGAAAACATCTCGGCACAAAGTGCAGACTGGTCTCTGTGTGGACTGCTCGTCCATTATGATGAATAACTATCCCAAACAGGGATATAAGTAAATTTGCAGGCAATTAGACAACAAAAATATGAAGATCGCTTGCAAGTGAAAAAGAAAAACCCAAAATGGATTCCTGTAATAACAACACGTCACCACTGCGTGGTGATTTGAAAGAGAATAAGTTGACTGGGATAGACACGTGATCAGTGCAAGAAGGTCAACCAGCATGCATAGCGCGCATGACCCAGATCTAGGAGGTGACCGTGGCGATGTGAGGTATGACAGGCTTAATTAACTTTAGAAGCTGGAAACTTTTATTTCAGATACGTGTCCACACAGAATCGAAAGAAGAAAGAGAAATGTATAGTGTGAGATAGGATAAGTATATAAATATACAATTAATAATAAGTTTAAAAATTTATTATTTACAGACCGAAGTCATATAGCCAGAATATTGCTGAGTGCAGCGTTAAAACAACAAACAAACAACAAGAGCATGTTGAAGACAACCTACCAATGTTTTGAATTCCTCCAGTGTTTCTATCTTGTCATAATCCAGCTGTAGTGTGCCTCCACCAGCAGGGTTGTCCCTCTGTACATGAGTAAGGGTTGTTCCCCTTGGAGTAAGGCCATGGCTACTATGTTTAACTTTGCTGTCATCGGAGTTGCTCTTCTTCAAATCACCTGAAAACAGAAGAACTGTTGTTTATATTTCCCCAAAAGGTTGACAACTCTAGATCTAGATCTAGAGGGTGGGTGTGGCAGTCTCTCTGTTATCCTGATGTGAATGGAATTACCTATTTACTTTGTTTTTTCACCATGCATGCATGCGTGCGTGCGCAGTTTAACATGGACACACTCAAACACAGTCTACTGACTCAATAACTGATAATTTGTTTTCTTTATGCATTCAAATTCCTGTTGGCAATTGTCCAAAAAGCTGTTGAAGCTTTGTTTTTGTAACATCATATATGTTCATCACATTTTAAATAACATGTTTAACAACGGCTGAGCTAGATTTTATTAGGAACATCATTGTGATTTTGTCATTGTGATGTTTTAATACAGTGCTGTTTATTTATTCCACCTACAATGTCTAACCATAAGTTGCCGATAATTATATCCTAATGCTGCAATCTTCAGACTATCAAGTTCACAGTTCTTCTGAAACAGTTTGTAGAATGGCAGTTAATAACTCAATGTCTGTCTTGTGATCAGGAAGGCCAGAGGCCATATACCAGTATATGGTCTCTGGGCAGGCAAAGACATATTTTCACAAGCATCCACCATAAGATAAAAGTGATAACAAAATATGATAAAGCCTCTTCAAATTCCATGTTCCGACCACCCCCTTCCATAACAAAACCTGACCTTCAAAACAATGTCCATGGATGAGATAAGTAGACAGTGTGTGGCAAGACAGATAGCAGGACATGGTGCTACCCACACTGTTGTTGGCCGCAGATCAATAACCACCTGCACTTTCCCACTACACAATCACTGTAATTACCAGTAACTATTGCCATATCTCCTCTCACACACAAAGCACCTGTCAAAGTTCATGAAATGTTTGTCAGGGTTGACATGCAATGACAATTATAACCTCCCTGCACAGAGCTGAGGAGGGGTAGTGTGATACCTACTTCTTCTCTGTAAAAATGACGGTGGGTGGGTGAGTGCAGTATGGGTTGGTGGATGAGATGAGCGTGGGTGGGTGAGTGAAGGGTGGGTGGGTGAGTGGAGGGTGGATGAGTGAAGCGTGGGTGGGTGAGTGGAATGTGGGTTGGTGAGTGGAGTGTGGGTGGGTTGGTGAGTAGAGTGTCTAGGTGAGTGCAGAATGGGTGGGTGAGTGGGTGAGTGGGTGAGTGGGTGAGTGAGTGGAGTGGGGGTGGGTGAGTGTGGGTAGGTGTGTGGAGCGTTGTTGGGTGAGTGAAGCAGGGAAGGGTGAGTGGAGTGGGGGTGGGTGAGGGGAGTAGGGGTGTGTGAGGGGAGTGGGGGTGGGTGAGGAGAGTGGGGGTGGGTGAGTGGAGGGTGGGGGAGTGAGTGAGTGGAGTATGGGTTGGTGACTGGAGTGTGGGTGGGTGAGTGGAGTGTGGGTGGGTGGGTGAGTGGAGTAGGGGTGGGTGAGTGGAGTGTGGGTGGGTGGGTGAGTGGAGTAGGGGCGGGTGAGTGTGGGTAGGTGTGTGGAGCGTGGTTGGGTGAGTGAAGCAGGAAAGGGTGAGAGGAGTGGGGGTGGGTGAGGGGAGTGGGGGTGGGTGAGTGGAGTGTGGGATGGTGAGTGGAGTGTGGGTGGGTGGGTGAGTGGAGTATGGGTTGGTGAGTGGAGTGGGGATGGGTGAGTGTGGGTAGGTGTGTGGAGCGTGGTTGGGTGAATGAAGCAGGAAAGGGTGAGTGGAGCGGAGATGGGTGAGTGGAGCGGGGGTGGGTGAGTGGAGTGTGGTTGGGTGAGCAGAGCGTGGTTAGGTGAGTGGAGCGGGGGTGGGTGAATGGAGTGTGGTTGGGTGAGTGGAGCATGGGTGGGTGAGTGGAGTGTGGTTGGGTGAGTGGAGCGTGGTTGGGTGAGTGGAGTGTGGTTGGGTGAGTGGAGTGTGGTTGGGTGAGTGGAGCATGGGTGGGTGAGTGGAGTGTGGTTAGGTGAGTGGAGCATGGGTGGGTGAGTGGAGCATGGGTGGGTGAGTGGAGTGTGGTTGGGTGAGTGGAGTGTGGTTGGGTGAGTGGAGCGTGGTTGGGTGAGTGGAGCGTGGATGGGTGAGTGGAGCATGGGTGGGTGAGTGGAGTGTGGTTGGGTGAGTGGAGCGTGGTTGGGTGAGTGGAGCATGGGTGGGTGAGTGGAGTGTGGTTGGGTGAGTGGAGTGTGGTTGGGTGAGTGGAGCATGGGTGGGTGAATGGAGTGTGGTTGGGTGAGTGGAGCATGGGTGGGTGAGTGGAGTGTGGTTGGGTGAGTGGAGCGGGGGTGGGTGAGTGGAGCGTGGTTGGGTGAGTGGAGCGTGGGTGGGTAAGTGGAGTGTGGTTGGGTGAGTGGAGTGTGGTTGGGTGAGTGGAGTGTGGGTGGGTGAGTGGAGTGTGGTTGGGTGAGTGGAGCATGGGTGGGTGAGTGGAGCGTGGTTGGGTGAGTGGAGCGTGGGTGGGTGAGTGGAGTGTGGTTGGGTGAGTGGAGCATGGGTGGGTGAGTGGAGTGTGGTTGGGTGAGTGGAGTGTCGTTGGGTGAGTGGAGCATGGGTGGGTGAGTGGAGTGTGGTTGGGTGAGTGGAGCGGGGGTGGGTGAATGGAGTGTGGTTGGGTGAGTGGAGCATGGGTGGGTGAGTGGAGTGTGGTTGGGTGAGTGGAGCAAGGGTGGGTGAGTGGAGCATGGGTGGGTGAGTGGAGTGTGGTTGGGTGAGTGGAGCGGGGGTGGGTGAATGGAGTGTGGTTGGGTGAGTGGAGCATGGGTGGGTGAGTGGAGTGTGGTTGGGTGAGTGGAGCATGGGTGGGTGAGTGGAGTGTGGTTGGGTGAGTGGAGCATGGGTGGGTGAGTGGAGTGTGGTTGGGTGAGTGGAGCGGGGGTGGGTGAATGGAGTGTGGTTGGGTGAGTGGAGCATGGGTGGGTGAGTGGAGTGTGGTTGGGTGAGTGGAGCATGGGTGGGTGATAGGAGTGTGGTTGGGTGAGTGGAGTGTGGTTGGGTGAGTGGAGTGTGGTTGGGTGAGCGGAGTGTGGTTGGGTGAGTGGAGCGTGGTTGGGTGAGTGGAGCGTGGTTGGGTGAGTGGAGCATGGGTGGGTGAGTGGAGTGTGGTTAGGTGAGTGGAGCATGGGTGGGTGAGTGGAGCGTGGTTGGGTGAGTGGAGCGTGGTTGGGTGAGTGGAGTGTGGTTGGGTGAGTGGAGCGTGGTTGGGTGAGTGGAGTGTGGTTGGGTGAGTGGAGCGTGGGTGGGTGAGTGGAGCGTGGTTGGGTGAGTGGAGTGTGGTTTTGTGAGTGGAGCGGGGGTGGGTGAGTGGAGCGGGGGTGGGTGAGTGGAGCGGGGGTGGGTGAGTGGAGCGTGGGTGGGTGAGTGGAGCGTGGTTGGGTGAGTGGAGTGTGGTTTGGTGAGTGGAGTGTGGTGTGGTGAGTGGAGTGGGGTTGGGTGAGTGGAGTGTGGTTGGGTGTGAGTTGAGTTTGGGGGGGTGAGAATCAGTGTTTGATTCATGTGGACCAGGCAACACAAGCACAACAATCCCTTCCACTGGTCCACCAAATCCTACTTATGAAATCATTTTATAACCTTGTTTTCACATATCTTTTTTCAAAAAGAATACAATTACAAGATCTTTTGAAGACATCTCATGTAGTGCATCAGGTGGGTTTCATGCTGCAATAGGATCTGGGTTAAAAAGGTTGGGTGAAACAGGAAGGGTGAAATCCAATCTTGACACATGATGATATGGTGTGAACTAATAAAGATATAAAAATATTTTCATAATCCTTAAAAGCTAAATAAATTTGTATATAATGTTGTGTTACAACAGGTTATCTCTTACAATGGTCATACTTACAGCAATGAAATAAACCCTTCAAGAGAAACAAATCAGGTAAACATCTATATCCTTGTTCAGGGCTCAATATTTCTTACAATCCATGTTTGCATGTATTTACAACATGCAAACGATTGATAAAATATTAGTTAATGACACCACAAAATTCTGAAGAGCTGTGTACTATGCATTGTAATATCAGCTAACACAGTATAAATAAGGCTACAAAGAGTTCTGGTTTATTTTTCAAATATTTTCCACAAGAGAATGCTTTGTCAAAGTGTAAAAGTAGAGATGTGTTCTATGAGGGTAATATCCTCATAACTCGGACATTCCCCTCTGCGTAACAGAAATTAAGCCCTAAATGGTGACAGCATATCAGAACAATCTCTAAATATGTGAATTTCTAGCCTACCACCATGGAAACTTAATACAATATTTTGCGTTATGCTACTATTACTTTCTAAGTCTGAAAATCCAGTTTAACCCCCAAAGTTGGTTCTCCAAAGCTTTAGTGTAATACTGGGAGACACCATGGGATGTGACACTTGTAAGGTGTTCCTGGCAGGACTACTGCCTTGTGTGTCAGTAGATCCAGGCACTCTCCACTTGGGTCTGTGTGAGTATTTGCTTATTTGTAAAACCATGTACTGTGATATGAGCTTCATGAATGTGGATTTACTTGCCCATCATCCATATACCTGTGCCACCGTTCCCCAGTGGACAGATCTGATTACCTGTGTAAATTCCACCCATAGAGGAGAGTAGGCCCTATATTGTCCACTAAATTGAACAACATTACCTACTACTGACTTTGAAGACATCTCATTATGTGAACAGAAAAGCCATGGTCTAGAGTTTCATGTATATTTGCCCCCTGCCACGTGTGTGATGAAGAAGACAGGGGTACACATCACAAGTCAACTGAGTGGAGGCCTATGGGTCAGGTTGCAGAGATGGTGGTGATCTCCATCAACATAATAGGCATAGGCAGGAGAGGTGAACATCAGGTGATGACAAAGGTCATCCAATAACCTAGCTTGTAACAGATAGGATTCGCACCATGCAATGAAGTGCATCTGTATAGGCCTTATCGTCTTTTTTAATAAAAGCTCATTATGACAGTTGGGATTTGGAAATGAAATGATTTCATTATGGAAATGATTTCATTATGGATATGAAACGTGACAATGTTGACTATATTGTGCCTGTGTGAGGTCATCTGTAGGAGGCCTCATGCTCCACATGTCCTATCACAGTGTAGCATGTTTGAAGGTGGCCTATACTGACCCTAGAGGAATGCAAATCTGTGTACACAGACTGGACAGGCCCGTGTTGTGTCCTCTAGTTGTCCTCATTCAGTTGAACACAAGGTATAATCACCTGCAAACACCCACTCGACAGACACCAAACAGCTGACAAGGGGTATGTGGGCAACAGCACACCAGTTGCCACTCACGCATACTAATACATCACAGTGTTGGCTGGCTTGGGATGTGAGGGTTGTGGAGACAGTGAGAAGAGTGTGGAGACAGTATGAGAGTGTGGAGACAGTATCAGGGTGTGAAGACAGTATCAGGGTGTGGAGACAGTGTGAAGAGTGTGGAGACAGAATGAGGGGTGTGGAGACAGTGTTGAGGGGTGTGTAGACAGTGTAAGGGGTGTGTAGACAGTGTGGAGGGTGTGGAAACAGTATGAGGGTGTGGAGACAGTGTGAAGGGTGTAGAGACAGTGTGAGGGGTGTGGAGACAGTGTGAAGGGTGTGGGGACAGTATAAGGGTGTGGAGACAGTGTGAAGGGTGTGGAGACAGTGTGAAGAGTGTGGAGACAGTATGAGGGTGTGGAGACAGTGTGAAGGGTGTGGAGACAGTGTTAGGGGCGTAGAGACAGTTTGAGGGTGTGGAGACAGTGTGAAGGGTGTAGAGACAGTGTGAGGGTGTGGAGACAGTGTGAAGGGTGTGGAGACAGTGTGAAGGGTGTGGAGACAGTGTGAGGGGTGTAGAGACAGTATGAGGGTGTGGAGACAGTGTGAAGGGTGTAGAGACAGTGTGAGGGTGTGGAGACAGTGTGAAGGGTGTGGAGACAGTGTGAGGAGTGTGGAGACAGTGTGAAGGGTGTGGAGACAGTGTGAGGGTTAGTGGAGCCAGTGTAAGGGGTGTGTAGACAGTGTGAGGGTTAGTGGAGATAGTGTGAGGGTGTGGAGACAGTGTGGTGGGTGTGGAGACAGTGTGAAGGGTGTGGAGACAGTGTGAGGGGTGTGGAGACAGTGTGAGGGGTGTAGAGACAGTGTGAGGGGTGTGGAGACAGTGTGAGGGGTTTGGAGACAGTGTGAGGGGTGTGGAGACAGTGTGAGGGGTGTAGAGACAGTGTGAGGGGTGTGGAGACAGTGTAAGGGGTGTAGAGACAGTGTGAGGGTTAGTAGAGACAGTGTGAGGGGTGTAGAGACAGTGTGAGGGGTGTGGAGACAGTGTGAGGGGTTTGGAGACAGTGTGAGGGGTGTGGAGACAGTGTGAGGGGTGTAGAGACAGTGTGAGGGGTGTGGAGACAGTGTAAGGGGTGTAGAGACAGTGTGAGGGTTAGTAGAGACAGTGTGAGGGGTGTGGAGACAGTGTGGAGGGTGTGGAGACAGTGTAAGGGGTGTGGAGACAGTGTGGAGGGTGTGGAGACAGTGTGAGGGGTGTGGAGACAGTGTGAGGGGTGTGGAGACAGTGTGAGGGGTGTGGAGACAGTGTGAGGGGTGTGGAGACAGTGTGAGGGGTGTAGAGACAGTGTGAGGGGTGTGGAGACAGTGTAAGGGGTGTAGAGACAGTGTGAGGGGTGCGGAGACAGTGTGAGGGGTGTGGAGACAGTGTGAGGGGTGTAGAGACAGTGTGAGGGGTGTGGAGACAGTGTAAGGGGTGTAGAGACAGTGTGAGGGGTGTAGAGACAGTGTGAGGGGTGTGGAGACAGTGTGAAGGGTGTGGAAACAGTGTGAGGGGTGTGGAGACAGTGTGAGGGGTGTGGAGACAGTGTGAGGGGTGTGGAGACAGTGTGAGGGGTGTGGAGACAGTGTGAGGGGTGTAGAGACAGTGTGAGGGGTGTGGAGACAGTGTAAGGGGTGTAGAGACAGTGTGAGGGGTGTGGAGACAGTGTGAAGGGTGTGGAGACAGTTTGAGGGTGTGGAGACAGTGTGAAGGGTGTGGAGACAGTGTGAAGAGCGTGGAGACAGTATGAGGTGTGTGGAGACAGTGTGAAGGGTGTGGAGACAGTGTTGAGGGGTGTGGAGACAGTGTGAGGGGGGTGGAGACTGTGTGAGGGGTGTGGAGACAGTGTGGTGGGTGTGGAGACAGTGTGAAGGGTGTAGAGACAATATGAGGGTGTGGAGACAGTGTGAAGGGTGTGGAGACAGTGTGAGGGGTGTAGAGACAGTGTGAGGGGTGTGGAGACAGTGTGGAGGGTGTGGAGACAGTGTTAGGGGTGTGGAGACAGTGTTAGGGGTGTGGAGACAGTGTGAAGGGTGTGGAGACAGTGTGAGGGGTGTAGAGACAGTGTGAGGGGTGTGGAGACAGTGTGGAGGGTGTGGAGACAGTGTTAGGGGTGTGGAGACAGTGTGGAGGGTGTGGAAACAGTGTGAGGGGTGTGGAGACAGTATCAGGGTGTGGAGACAGTGTGAAGGGTGTGGAGACAGTGTTAGGGGTGTGGAGACAGTGTTAGGGGTGTGGAGACAGTGTGGAGGGTGTGGAAACTGTGGTGGAGCTCATGTAGCCATTATGGAGCCATTGTGGTTTGGTATGCAGCTTGACTGAGTTGGGAGTAAACAGTTCTGCAGCATGTATAGTCAACATTGAGCTGTTAGACAAGAGTCATGAAATTGGTACTGCATGTGAGGCCGATAAATCATGCCAATTACACAGGCATGCAGCAGGTTAAGGCCTGAAATACTGTGTATGTGATGAAAATGTCACACAGAGGTTGTGTAGTGCAAGCTGCAAATACCTACATGACAGATGATACTATTGTGCAGGGGTGGTTTGTAGCAGTTTCTGGGGTGTATCTGTAAAGGTCTGACAGATGGCTGTATTTTGCAAAGTTATCAATCCCACTGAACACTGTGTTTTAGCCTCCTGTGAGGGGATGCTGGGTCCCCATGTTACTCCCCATGTTAAGAAGACGCTGAGACACAGGTGAAAGCCTCAACCTGAAAGCCATCAAAGCCATTGTAGATTGACAGCCGTAGATAGCGCTTTGATATTCCATCATACCTGTATACAAGATTAAGGCAATTTAGCCCCGCTTGGCAGCCAAGAGGGAGCTGGGTGTGTAATCCAGGGTACGGCAGGCTATCACTGCCAGGGCTATTGTCCCCACTCACCCATACGTTACACATAAACCCCCTGATAAAGTCACCTATTTCACTGGTCAGTGCATACTTTCTCCTCCATATCTGATTGTTGTTCACTATAATGTATCCTTCACATCAATACATCTATATCAATGGTGTGTAATTTGTTGTCTAGTCATCTGATTGACATACTGCTCAAAGTTTTCATACCCATGTCACTACTTCCCTCTTCTACCAATGTGTATTTTCCCTTTTCTACATGTGATAGTTTCTCCTAACTACCACATGATATCTTCTGTCTGTTTACTATCCTTGTAATATCTTCCCTTTACTACCAATTTGATATCTTCTGTCTGTTTACTATCCATGTGATATCTTCCCTTTACTACCAATTTGATATCTTCTGTTTATCATCCATGTGATATCTTCTGTTTACCATCTATGTGATATCTTCTGTTTACCATCCATGTGATATCTTCTGTTTACCATCCATGTACGTATGTGATATCTTCTCACTACTTTCCTTTACTTTGCATATGATATCCTCCTCTTACAATCCATGTCATATCTTCCCTTTACTATCCATGTCATATCTTCCTTTTACTATCCATGTCATATCTTCCCTTTACTATCCATGTTATTTCCCTTTTGCTATCAATGTCATATCTTCCCTTTAATATCCATGTTATTTCCCCTTTACTATCCATGTCATATCTTCCCTTTACTATCCATGTTATTTCCCCTTTGCTATCCATGTCATATCTTCCCTTTACTATCCATGTTATTACCCCTTTACTATCCATGTCATATCTTCCCTTTACTATCCATGTCACACCTACCCTTTACTATCCATGTTATTTCCCCTTTTCTATCCATGTCATATCTTCCCTTTACTATCCATGTTATTTCTTATTTACTATCCATGTCATATCTTCCCTTTACTATCCATGTTATTTTTCCCTTTTTCTATCCATGTGATATCTACCCTTTACTAGCCATGTTACATACACTTTACTATCCATGTCATATTTACCCTTTACTATCGATGTCATATCGTAACAGGATCGGGTGGTCAGGCTTGCTGACTTGGTTGATGCATGTCGTCGTATCCCAATTGTATGGATCAATGCTCGTGATGTCAATCAATTATTTACAGACTGCCATCATATATCTGGAATATCTATATCACATGACCATCACACAGACAAGATGCGTGTATCACATGACCATCATGTGCAGACAAAGCCCATAACACAACAACATGTTTCTTCCACGGTGCTCACTCCATCAATACTATCTTCATTACTTCTATCAGATCCCTTTTTTACCATTTTTTCAGTCACCTAGAGCTGGCTGGGACCAGAGGTAAGTTCCACTAAAAACTAAAAATATAAAAACATCTAATTACCCTAACCACTACTGTTCAAGATAAGTTACATCAATATTAGTCTTAATGACGTAATGATGACCTCAATTCACTGTGTGAACACGAAGGACTTTAACATATGTGTTTCTATGGGGGTCTACAGGGTGGTCATTCTTGGATGTCAGATGTACTCAACTCTTGCATGGACCAACACTAGACAGCGGGTGATACTTGGACGTCAGATGTACTCAACTCTTGCATGGACCAACACCAGATGGGGTGATACTTGGATGTCAGATGTACTCAACTCTTGCATGGACCAACACTAGACAGGGGGTGATACTTGGATGTCAGATGTACTCAACTCTTGCATGGACCAACACCAGATGGGGTGATACTTGGATGTCAGATGTACTCAACTCTTGCATGGACCAACACTAGATGGGGTGATACTTGGATGTCAGATGTACTCAACTTTTGCATGGACCAACACCAGATGGGGTGATACTTGGATGTCAGATGTACTCAACTCTTGCATGGACCAACACCAGATGGGGTGATACTTGGATGTCAGATGTACTCAACTCTTGCATGGACCAACACTAGACAGAGGGTGATACTTGGATGTCAGATGTACTCAACTCTTGCATGGACCAACACTAGAAAGAGGGTGATACTTGGATGTCAGATGTACTCAACTCTTGCATGGACCAACACTAGAAAGAGGGTGATACTTGGATGTCAGATGTACTCAACTCTTGCATGGACCAACACTAGAAAGAGGGTGATACTTGGATGTCAGATGTACTCAACTCTTGCATGGACCAACACTAGACAGAGGGTGATACTTGGATGTCAGATGTACTCAACTCTTGCATGGACCAACACTAGAAAGAGGGTGATACTTGGATGTCAGATGTACTCAACTCTTGCATGGACCAACACTAGACAGAGGGTGATACTTGGATGTCAGATGTACTCAACTCTTGCATGGACCAACACTAGAAAGAGGGTGATACTTGGATGTCAGATGTACTCAACTCTTGCATGGACCAACACTAGAAAGAGGGTGATACTTGGATGTCAGATGTACTCAACTCTTGCATGGACCAACACTAGAAAGAGGGTGATACTTGGATGTCAGATGTACTCAACTCTTGCATGGACCAACACCAGATGGGGTGATACTTGGATGTCAGATGTACTCAACTCTTGCATGGACCAACACCAGATGGGGTGATACTTGGATGTCAGATGTACTCAACTCTTGCATGGACCAACACCAGATGGGGTGATACTTGGATGTCAGATGTTGATGTATAAAAAAAATTATGTGGTCCTTGTGGGAACCTAACAGTGGTCGAGCTGTTTCAGCAACGGTAAACTGATGATCAGTATAGCCCGTGCAATCCATTTGTTCCGTGCTGTCCGTGCAGGGACCATATGGTGGTAGAGCTGTAATGGCTGCCATAGACTGATGATCAGTGCAGCCCGAGCGGTCCATATGTGGTTGCTTACCTGCTGGTTTAACCAGACGGTTAGAAGGACCGTGCGATGACAGATGGGTATCGTGTGGGGTACGGTGGACAGCTGGTAGGGGTCTGGTGGCCATAGCGCTGGCAGAAGAAGACGGACAAGGCTCTGACAGGAACATTCCCCCATGTGGCTTCTTCGCTGGAGGATTCTTCTGAGCCTGAATAGATTCAAGTCTTTTCAGCCATTCTATCTCCATCGTGAAAAAGATTTCATAATCTTTGCCCTCTGTTGAGCAAACAACGGCTCATACAGACTGATAGGAATGTGGGTGTAGATGACATGTCAGTTTGCGACATTATATCGTCAACTTTCTCTTCTCCGTGTCTTCCTCCTGGCCTTGGTGAGAGCCTCAGTCAGTTTCAAAAAAGGCTTTCTGTACAGGTAACCTCCTGCATTTTCAACAGGCTGTATGAGGGTCGCTCATAATCATGGACGGCCACACTTATGAGATGCCAAAGTAGCAGATGATCCCATCTTTGAAGAGTTGCAGGATAAACAAAAAAACACCAAGACTTACTTAATACTTACGTATCATGAACTACCAATAAGACTGGTACTTTTATGGTAGAAGTCTTAATAATTGTTCACGAAAATGGACTAGAATGGTGTGACAACAATAAAATGTTGGAGGAGAGCAGAATATAGGACATTGTTGACTCTAACTTACACAGGAAAGAAGTGAAGCTTTTCCCGCCTTCATACACTAGAGTGCTGTGCCCTGGTGGATGCTATTGAGGGTATAAATAATTATTCTGTAGTTGACAGTGAAGAGGACTTCTATTGAAAATCTGAATGTTTTGTTTCGTGTGATTGCAGCCAAAATACAGTAATTCGTAAGAATTACTATAGTCCAAAACATAAACGATGACTACTTAAATTTAGGCCAAACCTTTCCTATTTTTTGGCTTTAGAGATGTTTTTGTGATGGTGAGAGAAAAATAAACATAAAAGACATTTTCCATTATCTTTTTTGTTCTTCAATAATTTACCTGAATATGTAGTCATATGTGCGATGCTAGCAAAGCTCATTTAAATTGTCTTGCATAACCTATTATATATATAACCTGTTGCCTTGGAAATATTTGTATATAGAACTTTCTTGTGGTGAACACATAAACAATTGCATTCAACAGATACAAAAATGTCCTTTTCAGATTTTAGTGTTACCACTGAAATCTGCAAACCACTTAAATAAAAAATCTCACCTCGGGAAAATTTATAGGAATTGAAAGATTCAAGCAACTCGTGTACCAATGAGAAAGTATAATTTTGACATTTGGAATCAGCTAACATGATGCTCTTCGTGATTAAACATGGCTGCTGCATTGTGTAAAAGTGGCCAAACTTGCGAAGAAAAATGAAGAAGAAAGTCCTGGTGAGACTTTTAATGATATTGATTCTTATAACCACTCATCTTGCCTCATCACCACTCATACTGCCTCATCACCACTCATCACCACTCATACTGCCTCATCACAACTCATCCTGCCTCATCACCACTCATCCTGCCTCATCATCACTCATACTGCCTCATCACCACTCATCACCACTCATACTGCCTCATCACAACTCATCCTGCCTCATCACCACTCATCCTGCCTCATCATCACTCATACTGCCTCATCACCACTCATCACCACTCATCACCACTCATACTGCCTCATCACAACTCATCCTGCCTCATCACCACTCATCCTGCCTCATCATCACTCATACTACCTCATCACCACTCATCCTGCCTCATCATCACTCATACTGCCTCATCACCACTCATCACCACTCATACTGCCTCATCACAACTCATCCTGCCTCATCACAACTCATCCTGCCTCATCACCACTCATCCTGCCTCATCATCACTCATACTGCCTCATCACCACTCATTCTGCCTCATCACCACTCATACTGCCTCATCACCACTCATACTGCCTCATCACAACTCATCCTGCCTCATCACCACTCATACTGCCTCATCACCACTCATACTGCCTCATCACCACTCATACTGCCTCATCACCACTCATCCTGCCTCATCACCACTCATACTGCCTCATCACCTCTCATACTGCCTCATCACCACTCATACTGCCTCATCACAACTCATCCTGCCTCATCACCACTCATCCTGCCTCATCACCACTCATCCTGCCTCATCATCACTCATACTGCCTCATCACCACTCATTCTGCCTCATCACCACTCATACTGCCTCATCACAACTCATCCTGCCTCATCACCACTCATACTGCCTCATCACCACTCATACTGCCTCATCACCACTCATACTCCCTCATCACAACTCATCCTGCCTCATCACCACTCATACTGCCTCATCACCACTCATACTGCCTCATCACCACTCATACTGCCTCATCAGGGGCGGTCGGGTAGCCTAGTGGTTAAAGCGTTCGCTCGTCACGCCGAAGACCCGGGTTCGATTCCCGACATGGGTACAATGTGTGAAGCCCATTTCTGGTGTCCCCCGCCGTGATATTGCTGGAATATTGCTAAAAGCGGCGTAAAACCATACTCAGTCAGTACTGCCTCATCACCACTCATCCTGCCTCATCACCACTCATCCTGCCTCATCACCACTCATACTGCCTCATCACCACTCATACTGCCTCATCACCACACATACTGCCTCATCACCACTCATCCTGCCTCATCCTGCCTCATCACCACTCATCACCAGTCATCCTGCTTCATCACCACTCATCCTGCCTCATCACCACTCATCCTGCCTCATCACCACTCATACTGCCTCATTACCACACTTACCAGGTTTCCTTCTGGCCAATGCACCTCTCTTCTGTCTGGTGAGAGAAGCCATGATGCTGGGAGGTGGCTGTCTATAGTCCCATGTACACAGTACTGCAAGTACAGTCTGTGGCACCACTATCACATCATGTCTGTGTGTCCCTACACAGGCCACTGTCTGACTAGAGACTCCAAAGTACCTATTTTATGTGTCCAGCTTTCCCTCACTCACATTGAATGGTGTCCTCCTCTGAACAAATACATCACTCCAGCCATATAACACACATACCATGAAGCACTTATTACATACATGTCGATCCACTCAAATTCCTGTCATGATAGAGGCCCCTAGTTGAAGTATATTGTCATGTGTGATTGTCACTCACCGCACACATTAAAGCTGGTATTTGTAGTGTAATCAGTGGCAGAGAGTACAGAACTTTACAATGATATTTGCTTGTTATGACTGAGTGCGATCTGAATGGAGTGAGTTGCTCTCTGCTACTGTTAGCAAAGGGTGCAACGGGTGACAGGTTGAGCTGCAGCCATCACAAGATCACGTACTCAGGTCAGGTATGGCATTCATCAAATGGATTACTACGCCTGTGGAGGAGAAATCAAGAACTGAGTATATCAGATCACTGTGAGCATATTCCACCTGCCTGTTGGCACGTGAGTGAGATTTGGTGTGAAGATGGTGACACTGGGTGACACAGATCACACACTCTCTTACAGTAAACTCCACAGTCTTGTAGCACTGCTCCTTCAGAGGTGTCAATCCCCTCCAGTCAGGGACACCTCGTTAGCAGGGGTGGGATTGTCTTAAGATGTATTCCGAGTACTGACCCATGTGGTAAAAGAATGATATGTTAATCTCTCTGAACCTCTCCCTCCTTCGCTCAGCTTCCCACACATCAGAAACATGACATAAGGCAGTAAGTGTCCTGGCAAATTTTTTTTCCACTGACAATGTTGGTACTGAGAGAAATTCATAATATCACTCAGTATTCCACATAACTGTCCCGGCCACGCTGGAAGAGAGTTGCAGCTATATGAACATGATATGTGAGGCCGGCCAGCTGATGGGTGTTTCAGTGCTGGCTTCCATAGCAAAGGACAAATGTGTTGACACTCTGGCTATGCTGACACAGCTACCACGACACACACAAGTCGGATGCAGCTCCTAGGTTTCCACCACATTGATGGCAAGTTGTGTTTGTAGAGTGACGCAACTGCTCCCCCACCCTCGCACTGGAGCAAACAGGAATATTGAAGGAAACAAAAATCTTCTAGTTTGGCAAACACAAATTTCAAAACTGAATGAAACTGATTTGACAGGCAGGTTTGTTATGTACTTTAAATATATAAATAATGTATGACCTAGCTGTACTGTGTAGCTGGCAGTACTCCAGCAGTGTCCCCAGACTGACCACTTCCCAGCTACCCTACAGTCCCCCCCCCCCCCCCCCCCACTTTCCAACCCAGTCATTAGGATGCTAATACCCAACAGTGGCCACCCCCCTCATGTCGATGGGAAGCTACCTAACAGTGTGCCACACCTCATCAGTGGGAAGCTACCAGTCAGTGCGCCACACCTCATCAGTAGGAAGCTACCCAACAGTGCGCCCCACCTCATCAGTAGGAAGCCACCAAACAGTGCGCCCCACCTCATCAGTAGGAAGCTACCCTACAGTGCGCCCCACCTCATCAGTAGGAAGCCACCGAACAGTGCGCCCCACCTCATCAGTAGGAAGCTACCCAACAGTGTGCCACACCTCATCAGTGGGATGCCACCCAACAGTGCGCCACACCTCATCAGTGGGCAGCCACCCAACAGTGCGCCTCAACTCATCAGTAGTAAGCCACCCTACAGTGCGCCCCACCTCATCAGTAGGAAGCTACCCAACAGTGTGCCACACCTCATCAGTAGGAAGCTACCCAACAGTGTGCCCCACCTCATCAGTAGGAAGCCACCCAACAGTGCGCCCCACCTCATCAGTAGGAAGCTACCCAACAGTGTGCCCCACCTCATCAGTAGGAAGCCACCCAACAGTGCGCCCCACCTCATCAGTAGGAAGCCACCAAACAGTGCGCCCCACCTCATCAGTAGGAAGCTACCCTACAGTGCGCCCCACCTCATCAGTAGGAAGCCACCGAACAGTGCGCCCCACCTCATCAGTAGGAAGCTACCCAACAGTGTGCCACACCTCATCAGTGGGATGCCACCCAACAGTGCGCCAC